GGAGAGAAATGGGCCCTGGACAGCAAAAAGCAAAGGAAAAAGAAGGCAAAACTTTAAAATAGGGGCTGAAGAAGGTGACGGGAGGCGAAATAAAGCGGAGGGAGGCAAAAGGAGGAAGGCACTGCCGAGTGCAAGCGCCCGCAGCCCTGGGGGGGGGTCACTCACTCGCGGGCGGGAGCCCCGCGCCGCGGAACTGCCCCCGTGGGGAAGGTGAACCGGGAAAGTGCTCGGGCCGTACCGGGAGCAGATAATGGGAAATGATAATGGGCGTTACACTGCTGGAAATGGCAGCGTCAGAATGCTATTTGCCTGGAAAGTTGAAATTCAGTTTAAGTGCAGGTGGCAAGGAAACGGCAGCAGCAGCTGGAAAGGGAGCGATTGCAGCAGGAGGCCATCATCCTCTTCATGATTTGGTTGTGTTTGCTTTCAGGCTCCTCCAGGAAAAGTGGAAGAGGTGGTGAAGGTTGCTATTGATGCAGGCTACCGCCTCTTCGACTGTGCCTATTTCTACCAGAACGAAAATGAAATAGGGAATGCAGTCCAGCAGAAGATCAAGGAGGGGGCTGTGAAACGGGAAGACCTCTTTATTGTCACTAAGGTACAAGGATGCAGGATTATTGGGGCATTTAGATTTTCTCGGAGAGAAACCCTTGTTCCATCTGGAAAATAGCCTAAGGACCTGTTTCCTTTTCTGACGTTCACTTCGTGGTTGTCTTGTTGTGCGCTACAAATTCCAGCCTTTTTTTGCAATTTGAACTGAGCTCTATCAGAAACCACTGCCAACTTACAAAAGCGAGCATGGCTGTTGCTGATCTAATAATTTCCTCACATTTATTGAGTCACTTAAGTATACTGAAGATTCATTTGCACGCACTGCAGAAAGATCAGGAATAAAAAGACAAGACAGGTGTCTAAATTCAAAGGTGCTGTGCTCGTTACTGGTGTGCAGGGCATTTGAAATTGCCGTCATGTACAATATGTAAGCCTAAAAGAACGTGTATGGCTTCAGTCTGAAGTGTTTACTCCATTCCTTTATCTCATCCACTTGCCTCAGCAATGCTCTTTACCAAAAAATAAGAACACTTCAGCTAAAAAACTTATGACTTGGGGCTTTTACCAGCAACACAAGGAAACAGCGAGTCTAATTAAGCTTTTCTACCTGTTAAAGAATAGGGTTTAATTTGAATAATACTTGCAAGTTCTTCTTTTTAAGACTTGAATTTTCATTTCAGAAATGAAATAAAATTGACAACAGTTCTCACTGTGGCCAGTTAAAAGGGACAGGAGGGTTGATATGAGCTGGTTTAAGACTCAAAATTTAGGCTGGGGAAAAAAAAAAATTCTAACTCTAATAGCTTTGTGTCAGATACACCTGGCAGAGTGTTAGATTTATTTCTGAGAATCTCTTTTCACAAGTAGGAATACTGACTATCCACCTTCACAACTGACTCCCTTAATTTGTGGTCTGTTTGTCCCACCTTACCATTAAAATATTGGCATCCTTGTCTTCAGCATTCCCTGAGCAGGGGGGAGGGAGCCGTCCTCCCAGACCACCAAGGGAGAAGCTTCTGTCGCCTGGTCTGAACTCTGGAAGCTGTAGAGTCACAGCCTTGGTTTCTTCCCACAGCTGTGGAACACATTTCACGAGAGGTCCCTGGTGAAGGTAGCGTGCAAGAAGAGCCTCGCTGCACTGCAACTGGATTACCTTGACCTCTACCTGATACACTTCCCTATGGGATTCAAGGTAGTCCTGCTCTACATCCCTCTTCTCCTTACCCGGCTAGAAGCACGGTGCGTTCTCTCATCTGTGCTGTGAGCATCTTCGTTCTGCAGTGGGGGTATGCTGTGGCTCATTTGGCTCTCCCTTGAACCCCGTCCTAGCGAGCATTCAGCCACTGAGTTGGTCATGGTATGCTTTAGCACGTGGGTCTGGCTTTCTGTGCCTGTTGGAGCGAGAGAGTCGTAGGTGTGAGTGCTGCTAATGAGCCCTCAGGTCTTTGGGGAAACTGTAACCAACACAGGATGGTGCAGGCTGGGATCCTGACCTTCTGCTGGGCCAGAACAGTGTGAACGTCTCGGGCTTTGGCGATGGTGGCTTGATCTGGAGTAACCAGCAGTGAAATACGAAGCACAGCGCAGACAGAACATGCTGGTTTTTTCTACACTAGCAGAAAATAAATTAAAAAAACCTAGAATAAACGTAGAGGGGGTGTCTGTTCCCTTCTCTGTAGATCTGCCTAAATTACTGCTAATCCCCACTCTTTGTGTGCAGGGATTGATTTATAGAAATAGGGCTCCTGTCCAGAAGAGAATCTTGATGAACATGCATAATTTTTAGTTATGAGATATGTTTAAATAACCTGCTAACTTGCTGGCAGTCAGAAGTTCTAGTAAACCGTAGGAAATTCAACTCTTGACGTCTGTGTACTGTCTGCCCTCAACAGGCTGGTGAAGAGCTGCATCCTCTGGATGACAAGGGGATGAGTATCCCCAGTGATACAGATTTTCTGGATACGTGGGAGGTAAGTTAATGTTTGCTCCTTAGAGCAGGTGTCAGCACTAAGATGGAGCAGAGGTCAGCGTGCAGGATGAAATTAAGGGATAGGTCTGGGTATGGAGGATAGTCACATGAAATTGTATTTCTTGACCAGAACGAGCAGAGCTGCTGCCTCTTGTTCTGGGGAGGATGTCTTTACCAGCACTAAAGAGGAGGAAGCTATCAGCGCTGTAGGCGCTGTCACTGAAATAATATTTGAATACACACAATGGTAGAGCCGAAGCATAGATTAATCCAGGTGTGGCTGTTAGTTTACTGGGTGTTTCATACAGATAGGGAATTCTCACACTTTTCAGTGTTGGGCATCAGCATGTCAGGCTGTTCCTCCTTTTCCTTGTGGACTGAGAGGATTCAGGCTCTGCTCTTGCTACCCGCACCTCTGGAAATTAACAGTTTTCTCTACAAGAGCAGATTACAGTTACCAGAAAGTATTTTGAGCTGACATCCTCCCTGCTGTGTTCTGCCAGCTTTGAGGTAGTGTGCAGGCAGGGGAGGAGGTGGAGGGATCCCTTGGTTTTTTAGCTCTGGTATAATGAACCCCAGAGAAACCAAAGCAAAAAAATTCTCTTCCATCTACTAAAAGCTTGGCCAAGGCATTCTTCTTACATTGCTTTCCCATCTGCAATGGGGCATAAAGCATATAGATAATACAAGTTGCAAAGATTATTTTTAATTTGAGATACTGTTGTTTAATCTGGAATGAGTTGTTTGTTGATTTGTCACTAGCTTTAGGGCAAAAAAATGATGTAGTTGACAGTAATACCACCTCATAAACACACATTGGTTGTCCTTGCTCATAAGGCCATGGAAGAGCTGGTGGATGCTGGTCTGGTAAAAGCCATTGGCATCTCCAACTTCAACCATGAGCAGATTGAAAGAATCTTGAACAAACCGGGACTGAAATACAAGCCAGTAAATAACCAGGTAAGATTTTTTATTTCTATAGATGTCAAATAAATTTGGAATATTTGTAAATATATTCATGCTACACTACAGCTGTAAAACAGACTTTCCTATTATCTTTAAATAGTTTTGGTGCCATGGGAAGATCTCACAAAGCACTAGATATCTCTGATTGTCTAAAAGACCCTTCAAGTCAGTGCTGCCTGCGACACACAAGGCTTTGGTATGGTGTGGGCCTTGATGGTTTTTAGTTGATAGGGATCTCAACAGAAAAATTTTTGTAGACTTGTGTGTATATAATGCATAATCCATACTGTTTTGTATGATATTGCTCTCAAATCTCCACTGCATATCACAGTAATGTGAAAAAGATGAGACTATTTCATTTTTAGACATTGGAAAACATGGAAAATATCTATTACCTTATGTAGGACCTTGCAACTTTCTGTTACACATCCTGTTTCTCACTCCCAACTTGTGTTGGGACTTGGATGTCACAGCCGGAGTTGCGATACACCCAATTCTACCAGCCCTGGGATAACCAGCAAAGTCCCTGCTGTGAGGCATGGGAATGTATGAGAATGTTCAAACTCATTCACTGGGTTTATTTATTTTTCAACGTAAAATGAACCATTTCACTGAACTTCATTATAAAAAGGAGGGTTGAAGTACACAATTATGTAACAAATTCTCACCACGTACCTCATGAATGAAATCACAGGGCAGCAGGGGTGTCACGACCTTCTGACTTTCTTCTGTATGCGAATTCTTCGCACTTGGCTGAGGGTGCTAAATGCCTGTTCTCTGCCAGCTTCAGAATGGCGAGGGAAATCCCCACACTGGGTCCTGTGCAGGCACGGTGCCGCCTGTGCTTCTGTACGAGGCTCGGAGCTGGTGTGTGCATCAGCCAGGCTTAGCACAAGGGAACGTAGGACTTAGAATCACAGAATGGTTTGG